TAGCAGGTGGGTGAACCTCGAGGCGCAGATTTCGTGGCAGGCACAGCACTGTGTGAACCTCCATGTGCAGGTTTCGTTGCAGGCACAGCACTGTGTGAACCTCGAGGTGCAGATTTCGTGGCAGGCACAGCACTTTGTGAACCTCCATATGCAGATTTCGTGGCAGGTGCAGCACTTTGTGAACCTCCATGTGCAGATTTCGTTGCAGGCACAGCACTTTGTGAACCTCCATGTGCAGATTTCGTGCCAGGCACAGCACTTTGTGAACCTCCATGTGCAGATTTCGCGGCAGGCACAGCATCTGTGGAGCTGAAGCTGAGAACTGGCGACTTTGTAGTACAACTTTAGTATGCGGAGCAATCTGTGGAGCTGGAAGCTGACAACTCGGGAGCTTTGATAGAGTGAATTGCCTTCCCTGGCACCACTTCCAGTTAGTCGCCATGCTCTCGACATGAGCCAATTGTGTTTCTCTCACGGATTCAGTGTCACATAAATAGGGGCGCCAAATGCCACTTGCACGCCCTTCGCCTGGTATCGCACCAGTGTTCGGACCCCCACTTGTCCCCGGCACTCGCCCTATCGTTTGCCGCACTTGTTGTAGCAGCTGCAAGCTCGCTGGTGACAGTCCGGGCACTAAGCCCACCTTGTTCAAGTCCCCTCCAACCCCTCTCCACTGTCCATCCCTGCCTTGATATTAACTGTAGCGCATCACAGATTTCACCGGCTGCTCTTTTCACATCCTCTGCAATCAGCTCCTTTTGCCCCACTTGCCCTGGCAACCTCCCTACAAACAGCCCTCTGGCACTATGCACAATTTCTCTGAACAAAAAATTCCGTCGCACATATGAAAAGCACCAACCTGCTCCAAACAGATGCTCGCAGCGATGTGCAAAAAGTTCTTCCTTCAAGTCCACAGCCGCTGCCCTCTCAGCTCCCGCACTTCGAATCCCTGGTCCCTGGCAGAAACACAACGAGTAATCATCAATCGGCGACAAACACTGTTCTCCCAAACTTATCCTGCGCCAGACCTTGTCCAGATCAGTCCTGCTACTAGATGTGTTGTGGAAAGTTGCACCTTTCCACCTCCTCGCCCTGGACTCTCCAATCGAAGCAAATGCTCTCTACAGCCCAAAGCCTCCTTGGGGCGGCGGAGCTGGCCGAAGGCCATCAAATTACCAGCTTGAATTCAAGGATGAACCCCCTTAGGTTTAAAACATCCCCAACAACAAGCGCACCATGTTTTCCTCCATCCATCCCTAGTCTTTCACCGTCTTGGGAAAGCTTCGATTCATCTTCTCCACCCGCGCCTCGCTGGGAAAGCTCGGTCGCACCGCCGCGGAGGCGCCTCGGCGAAGTGGAACGGAACTCGCTACGGCCCAGTGGGTGGGAGAACGGATCCAGCCAGATCCGCTCGCATTGAGGAATGAATGAAGCTTTCTAACGCAAGACATATCAAGAAATATCAAGAAATAATGAAAGCTTCTTTCTATTATACTGCATGGCCAGCAATGTGTTGTTTCCCCTTTTTTCAACGCTTCGATCAGCCGTATGGTCTAGCAAGTCGCAAGCTGCAGCCTGCATTGAATCGTCGGACAGTACCCCATCCCGTTTGGGAGATAGGTAAGAAGTCGATCCCAAAAGAAATATCGACCAGGACAACTAGGAACAAAGGTGTTATGCAACTAGGAACCAGAAATTGCGGAGGCCATCGCTATTAGGTTGAAGGCCATGGCGGCCATCGCTAGTAACAAGGTATCTAGTGGTCGCCCCGTAGAGGTGGAGATGCCCATTACGGGTGGAATCTTGATGCTCGACTGGCTGTTTCGTCTGCGGCCAGAATTGCAGTGGTCAATGAGTCGAGTAAGTGAAATAAGACTATAGCAAAACATGAAAAACAATGCTAAAACATGACTTGAGTAAGATATATATATATATCTTATATCACTGATAATAAGAGAAGAATGGCATAGAAAGGCCGAGTTCATCTAACCATCCGGCCTTGTCAATACAGTCTTTATGGGGAGTAATTAGCGCTGATACCCACCCCCTTGTCAACTGGCATGTCCTGCCGCGCAAACAACCTCAAACAACCTGCCTGCAAGGATCTCTTGCCCATGTCGCAGGAGTTCTTGCGCACAGAACGGCCTCGGACGAAGCTTCACACAAAAAAGGCTCGCCGGCCGACACGTGCGCAGATTTTTCCGAGGTGTGGGTTGATGATTCCTCAGCCTGTGAGGGAATTGATGCCGGTTCGACTGAAAGATCCAACAATGCTTCACCGATTTCTCAGAACCGGTGCCTGCAACGGTTCGATCGTGAAAAAATATTTCGCAACGACAACCCCAGCACTCCAGGGGAGTTGGGACGATTTGGTTGAAACACAACGATGGGCCGTTCTAGTGACTTCTTCTTTGGGCGAAAGACACCGACGGGCGGTTCTTTTTCACGTCTTCACATGATGGGCCCGTTTCTCCCCATGTGTGTTTTGCCGAAAAGACATCATGGGATGACTCAGTTCCCCAGTTTTTTCTACATTGGATGATGTGGATAAGTTCATGACTTGTCCATGACTCCAACTGAGTTCCCCACATCTCTTCCTCCTGCCACATCGCCAGCTGTAGCTGCCGCTCTGCACACAGTAGCACTGCCTCCCCCGTGCTGAATCCACTCTTCAGCAGGGCTGAATCTCTAATTGCAATGTCCTCCAA